TCAAAATTTCTTAATTCATATTTCTTAATTTGTATTTATTCTTAAAGCTCCAAATGTTGAAGTCATTCTGATTTGGAGAATTTCAAAATTCTATATTTATATTTTCAAAACCTTAGTTGTTTTGGTTGAAATTGTAAACTCGACACCAACATCTGTTTAAAAAATCTCTCCGTATTTTCAGAATTTTCTAAACTATTTTAAAAAATAAAAGAGTAGGAAATAAGTCTTGGGATGAGCATTTATTAGGATATCCTACCCATTCATAGGAAAGGCCTAAGAGAAAAGGGAACTTAGAAAGAAAAGTCAATTTCATTTACATCATTCATTTCATTTCATTCGATTCGAACTTCAAAAACTCAGAACCGGTGACAACTACGATAAGCAATAGTCAACGTGCTGATGAACCTGATGGGACGATCATCCTTTGAGCATTAGTTCTAAGTCTTTAAAGTCATTTATCTATCTATAGGTGTCTATGTCTTTGTCGCCCGCCTATCTTTCGTGCATCAAAGAGAGACAACTATAGATACCCAATTTAGAATTGACATTTTCTTTGAATTTCTAAATCTCAAGGTATAGAAATGATCCCTAAAAATAATAAGAAAAGCCTTAGAATAGCCATTCAACACTTAGGGGTCAAACTAGTCTAATACACCATGGTCCATAGTAAACCATAATCATCCTAATCCATAATCCAACCCAAAATAATCCAAAATTATCCCAAATCCTATAAAATTTAGCCTTAGGAAACCTAAACCCTCAAAATAGGTAGGTTTTTAATAAAGAAGCAAGGATAAATTCAAAAAATCAATTAGCCAGCTAATTTGACCAAGATTGGCAAGTAAGTACCCTCAAAAATCAAATCCCCGAGAAAGTTTATATCAGTTAGAGTCGGTTCGCAGACTGCGCCACAACTTTGCAAAATTCATGAACTGTATGCCACATGGTGCGGCGCGGCCACCTTTCAACTCTTGATTGGTTGTAGATCACCACCTTCTAATTTCCCATGCTCAATTGCCTATATAAACTCACAGTTTTCACCTCAAAAGGGTCAGCAATCAAATGAAACCCTAATCCTAGGCTAACCAAAACCCGAACCTTAGTGAAGAGAATTGTAATTATCCCTTAATTAATTGAGTGGTACATCAATGTTATATATAACATGATACAACAACTTGATAAGGATCTTTGACTGAGTAAATCAAGGATCATTGTAACAACCAATTTTTACAATGATATGTTAACCACTCAAGAATCTCTTTCAAATTCAAATACACTTTCTATCAACACCCTTCCGCAAGATGAGTGTGCGACTGGGTGATCGGTCAGCTTGTCTCTTAGAAGATGAAAGCGAGTAGGAGATAAGCCTTTGGTAAAGATATTAGCGATTTGTGCAAAGCTAGGAACAAATAGAATACATAATGATCCCCGGGCAACACGTTCTCGAATGAAGTGATAATCAATATCAATATGCTTAGTACGGGCATGCAGTAATGGATTAGATGCTAAATATGTGGCACTGACGCTGTCACAATGAATCACAGGGGGAGAAGATAAAACGATATGTAAGTCACGAAGAAGAAAGATGATCCGTTGAATATCAGCAGTTGTAGTATCAAGGGCGCGATACTCTGCTTCAGTACTAGATTGAGATACAGTAGGTTGCTTCTTGGTGTGCCAAGTTAATAGATTCGGTCCAAAGAGCACACACATGCCAGAAGTAGACCAACGACTATCCGGACAGCCAGCCCAATCTGCATCAGAATATGCCCGAAGTGTCTTATCAGAAGAACGTTTTATAGCGATGCTAAAATGAGAAGTCCTTTTGATATAGCGAAGAATGCGTTTAACCACAACGAGGTGTTTGGTACGAGGTTGGTGCATGAATTGGCAAACCGGATTTACTGCATAAGTGATATCAAGTCGAGTCATTGTGAAGTATTGCAATGCCCCGACAATGTGTGATAAGTTGAGACATCATTGAGAGGATCACCATCATAGAGAGAAATCTTGGAATCAGAAGTGACTGGTGAGGAGAAAGGGTGCAATACATTTGGTTCTTCGCCAATTGAGACATACACTTTCTCTCAACACTTAGTTTTAGAAAACTTAAGCCTTAGTTCCTTTTTAAGAGCCAGAAGCCAGTTCTCGAGCAACCATGATCATCCATTTCTAAAGAAAAACCATTCATTTATCAAATTTATAATGCCTGAACCCTACATTTTTAGAAGCTTTTAAGCCTTAACTCATTCAAGATCAAGAAAAGTCATTCATTTCAAAAGAAGAGGGATTCAATCATTCAAATCAAGCTCTGATCAAGGCTCCATTTCCGGCGTTGGACGGGAAGGCCCCAATTAGTTTATAAGTTTGTTTATTTTGATTTATTTTCAGTTTTATAGTTTTTCTCAGCGTTTTAAAAAACGCCGAGTCGAACCGGACTCGCCCGGTTCGACTCGGAAATAGTGAAAAAGGAACCGGATCGCCCAAAAATCGGAAATCGTCCGGTTCTAGAGAGAACCGGACGATTCTGTACAGTGAATCGCCGATTCACTG